CAGGACCGTGTGGGGAGGCTTCCTGGGCGGGATTGTCTGCGTGTCTTCCCAGGCTCCCGCAGGTCTCAGCCCGTCCCTCCGCTCCCACGTGGACGCCGCTGGGCTTGTGCTGAGCTGCGCCTCGGCAGCCTGGCTGGGAGGGCAGCAGATCCCTCTCCTTTGACAGGGGAGGAGGCCATGGCTTCCAGGCCATCTTCTTATGCCACAGGGAAAGGGGGTGGAGTGTGTGTGTGTGTGTGCGAGAAAGAGAGCGAGACACAATGGGGGGGGGTGTGTGTGTGTGACAGAGAGAGAGAGAGACAGAGAGAGAGAGAGAGGCGCCATAAGACTACTTTTAGGAAATATGCCGGCTGCAGAAGGTTTGGAATTAAGCGAGAGAGAGAGAGAGCGCCAACAGGATGTGTGTGTCTGTGTGAAAGTGAGAGAGACACTCCACAACTGGGGGGTGGTAGAGAGAGAGTGAGATTGATCCACAATGGTGGGTGTTGGTGTGTGTGTGTGAGAAAGAGAGTGCCAAAAGGGAGGGTGTGTGAGAGATAGTCACAACAGGGTGTGTGTGAGAGAGCGAGAGTGAGAATGAGCTGGTCTGAGGTAAATAGGATGCAGTTCAATAAGGACAAATGCAAAGTGCTCCACTTAGGAAGGAACAAATCGGTGTTGTCACATACACAGACTGGAAGCAACTCTCTAGGAAGGAGTCCTGCAGAAAGGGATCTAGGGGTTATAATGGCCCACAAGCTAAATACGAGTCACCAGTGTGATGCTGTTGCAAAAAAAGCAAACATGATTCTGGGCTGCATGAACAGGAGCGTTGTGAGCAAGACACGAGAAGTCATTCTTCCACTCTACTGGTTAGGCGTCAATTGGAGTCTTGTGTCCAGTTCTGGGCACTGCACTTCAAGAAAGATGTGGAGAAATTGGAGAGGGTCCAGAGAAGAGCAACAAGAATGATGAAAGGTCTAGAGAACATGAGCTAGGGGGGAAGGCTGAAAGAATTGGGCTTGTTTAGGTTAGAAAAGAGAAGACTGAGGGGGGGCCATGATAGCGGCTTTCAAGTATCTAAAAGGGAGTTACAAGGAGGAGGGAGAAAACTTGTTCTCCTTGGCCTCTGAGGCTCAAGAGATCCACAACACGTGTATGTGTACGTGTGTGTGTGTGAGCGAGAGTCACAGCTGTGTGGAAGAGTGTGCGAGAGAGCCACAACGTGTGAGTGAGAGAGTGTGTGTGAAAGAAAGCCACAGCAAGTGTGTAGAATAGTGATAGAAATGTAGCCGTGTTAGTCTGGGGTAGCTGAAGCAAAATGCAGGACAATGTAGC